TACTAAATTGTAGGGATCATGATGAAACAAAATGGCAGCCATAAAAATTGCATGTTTAAAACTACTTTTAAAATGTCTGAATATTAACAAGGACTGTTTCACAGTATTGGCTGAGCAAACTAAAGATTATTGTACTTATAAAGCTGCTTAAATCACTATATACATTTGTGGAGTTAATCAAAATTTCACTATTTCAACAAATTTTCATCTAAGTAAGTAAATGACTTTTTCAGGCAAGCATACAAAAAAATTAAGAACCTTATCCATTTAATTCTTTCACAAAACTCTTCTGTTTGGGGTAGTAATGATCCCTTTCTTATACCAAAAAGGACACTAGTGTGTGTTTATGTGTCTATATATATCAATTCAAAACCTTATTAAAAAAACAAAAAAACCTTCGTACTTTCCGGTCGTTAACCAAAAATCAAAATGGAGATTGTCTGTGGTAATAGCACTCAAAATCATTGGGGATAATCCATCTATCAGACAAAATCCAAATAGCAGAATACTGCCTTTCACTGTCTGCAGCCAGTTGTGGGAAGGCAGTATATAAAGCAGACAATGCACTACTTTGAGCATATAATTAGATATCAGGAAAGGTTGGTAGCGATCCTGATGAGTAATAAAATTAAATTGGGTATACACATGCCCCATGCTTGGTATTGCTGGTGCACAGATATATAGCTCATAAAAAGGAAACAAGTATAATAAAAAAATTAAAATTTATAAACACAAGTAGAGATCGATATAAATATGTAGGCAAGGAGAATTCTGCTTACCCATAGAATTAAGGACCAAAGATGGGACCATGGTGCATTCTGATTTACGAGGAGATAGTGGACCCCTGCATGAACAACATAAGACCTGACGTTGTTCATTAGAGGGTCCATGCACCCCCACCCCCCACTGGATAGCTAATTGTCAAATCTGGACTGGTTTTATGAGTAGGCTCCCGCATAGGTCCTGCTCCTACCGACATCTGGGTAATAAACTTCCAGAGACCCAGGTAGGAGGGTTCCCAACTTTGCCTTCTTCTCCGAGAGTGGAGAAAACTCAACACTCCTAAGATATATCCTCTGTCCACCACCCCAGAAACTGGGAACTGGGTGTGGTAAGGACTCCTGAGCTCCACTAGTAGAAGTAAGGAGAGAACATAAGCATTGAGGAGCTCTGATGAACAGGTCTCCGGAGACAGTGCAACAGGTGAACCACGTTCCCTAATTTTTAAAAGCAAACTGATCTCGACTGATTCAGCTCTAAGATCAGCAGGGCCTGGCAAAATCCCCTTTAGCTTTACTCATGATAGTCCACGAGTAGCAGTCTATTAGAAATATTGTATTATGATATCACCATCCAGAATTGCATCCAGATGGTCTTATGGAACATCTCAACAGAGCCCATTGCAACCAAGAACTGATATAAAGGTTGCTAGTGCAGAATTTAAATACAAGCATACCCAACTGGGCAACACTCGCCACTGAATGGGATCCAAATGAAATCAATAGGGACCCTAGAAGAGAAAAGAACAATAACTGTAAGTGCTGACCACCACTACATAACAAAAGAGGAATAGACAAAGGCTGAGAAGCCTCCATGCTTGAAACCATTACACAGGATTTCATATCCTTTTTTTTTGTGATATATCTGTAAGAAACACAAAAAATAAATTCAACAAAATATATCTCTGATAACAAAACAAAGAATTCCCAATTATTAGAAAGCAAAACTAAGAAAATGTAAATCACAAAACATTAATCTGAATGCTCTTGATTTGTTGAGAAAAAGTGATTTTATTGTCTGCATACAGTGGTTATATACAATACCTGCATAGAGGGCGTGTGAGGGCCGGCATAAAGTTTTGCAAATCAGATATTGCCGTTGGCAGTCGAGTGGGGTATATAAAGACAGGAGCAAGTGAATACAATGTTAGATGGCAAAGATGAAGATTGAGAAATAACTATTAGTGTCAGTGGAGGTAATATGTTTTGGAACAAAAGTTCTACAAGTTACATATCTAACTTGATACAAAACAATTTTAAATAAGCATTTTGTTTTTCAGGTGAGATACACAAGTTATCAGTTTTGAACAAGATATAATCCTGATCTAGATTAACACTGATGAATATTCATGATTAGTATTCAGGTTTCTCACACAAGCTCACAAACAATTCAAAACACAAGGTCCGCATTTCTTAAAATCAGTGAACAATACATTCAATACCTTTTGGGTTTAATTTCAATGAAATTAGCAAAAATCACACACATGTATCAACTTTTTGTTGTCAAAATTTGCAAATAAATGAATCATCAGCATAATTTATTATGGGCCATGTGAAAAAACAAGTCCTGGCCAATATACAGTCCAGAGTAACCTCATTTTGACAGCTATCAGATATAAATAAATGGTAGTTAAATATTTAAAAAAGGGACAAATTCTTTTGGTATGTACATTTTGGAACATATGGACAAAAAAATCTAGCGCGACTACTGTAAAAGATGCATTTATGGATTGAGCTACTACATTATTTCACCTAATTATTAAGTGCAATGCATATATAATTCAAGTTAAGCCTAACTAAGAATTTGTTAACTACTGAGCAGTTTAAGCTTAATTAGGAATTTGTAACCTATTGAACAGTATATTGGTGTATTGCTGAAATGAGTTAACTCTACTCAAATTTAAATAATTACACAAACCTGTGACCCTTGTTGAGATGGGTAACCAGCTCCATATGGATAACTCATTTTGTTTTATTACATGCACATTCTTCTGTATCAAAAAAAAAGGAAATTAGGATTACATATAAAAATATCTATTTGAATAAAATTACAAAAATTTAAATAAAATCTTTCCAGATATCTTTAATGTATCAAGTTATTAATACAACTATTAATCAGTGCTAACTATAAACACAGACAGCAATCACATTTAGAGAGGCCTGGGCAAAGACACAACTGTGAAATTCTTTGATAGATACAATTTCAATGGGGACATGAATTAGAAGTAAAACAGAACAAAAAGGAACTATAAATAATGACATAAAAGATAATTGATACCTACCACAGCATCAAAATCATGATAAATATCACATCACATATCATATACCATGTAACAAAAATTTTACACAAGTTAAACTAACAGCATAAACTACATCCAACAAACCATTACACATTTTGAAATTATTTAGAGAGAAATAATTTTGCTAATAAGCATAAACTTGCAACCTTTCATTTTACCACTCATATAAAAACAGCAAATAGGCAGTCCATTTGAACAATTTCTAGAACAATAAAAAAAAAAAACTTTCTTTTACACTCACGAGACACAACTTCTTACATCTCAAATTTCTAAAACTAGGTTATCTACATAAAGTCTCTCCAGATTCTTACACATAGTCACAATAATCTCAGACAAAATTGAAATAAGATCTTTTTTACAACTTAAGAAAACAAAAGGTGGAAAAAGGTCATATACACTATTGAGATCACCTTTCACTAATAATTAAAAACAAGAACAATCATATTTAATTTCTTCTTTCCCTCCACAATATCTATTCTCCTCTTACTTAAGTTGGTTTTTTTGATACCATGTACATAACTTTAAACTTTTCTTTACTGAATTTTTTTTTTCCACAAACTGGTTCTGTCACCAAATCTCTGGAAATTTTTCTCAACATTATTAACCTTTCTGTGTATGTTAGTATCATCAGTATACTTAGAAAAATTATTGTCCAAAAACAAAAAAGCTATACACATAGTTGATATGAAAACCAAATGGTTTTTAAACAATCCCCATGATATACTCCACTAATCAATTTTCAAAATCATTAAAATTCCTATTAATCATCACCACCTTTTCTACCACATACTCACTTCTTAAGTTTTAAAACAATTTCATAATAATAAAGATATATTCTTTAATAAATTTTCCCTTAAGGAAGGAGTACATAATTCCTTCATAAATACCTTCCATACAATTATAATATCAATATAAATCAAATTCAATTCATAAAAACAATATATAAAATTTCCATACAGAAATCAACCTTAAAATAATTACTATCTAATTGTTTCTTTTCCTACTTTTCTTTTTTTTTAACTTTGATATATTTATACAATTCTTAAGCTTATCTCTCCTCAAAACAGCTTTCATATTCATTCTTGTCTCTCCATTTCTCTTTAAACCATTTGAAATTCTTGTTAAATTTTATCATTTGTATCTCTTTACGCCACCATATCTGTTCAACAGTCTCTTCTTCCTGTATCTGTTGTCTAAATTTCCATTCTTTTGGATTCCTCTTTTTCTTCTGTCCTCTGTGAATATTAAAATGTCTTAATCTTGTCCATACCTTAATAACTTTTCATTTCTCTCTTTTTCTCAGTTGTTACACCTGGACATCTTGTTTTATTTTTATTTTTTATATGTACAAAAGGTTAATTGTTCAATTCCTCTCAAATTTTCCTGGATGTTCTGTTATACCTATTTTGCATTGCTTTTTTGTTCTTAATTTGTTTATCTCTTTTATTTCTGCTTTCTCTCAAATCATCTTTTTTAATGTGATTTCAAATCCTAACAATACTGTTTTTATCCTTATTTTATCTTCCTGTTCTTTCCATTCCTCTTATTTTCCCATCACATAATTCTTTGTTCCTTCATTTTAATTATTTCCAAAATGTACACTCAAATTTTCTTTAATCTGGCTTATGTATGTGTTCAATTCACATGCCATATATATATTGCAATACATTCCTTCAGTTTTCAGTATCCACATCATATATCATCTCTGCAACTTCTCAACATTCTCTTCCTTTTTTTCATACATTTCTGCCCCATGCATTGATTCAAAATTACATCTGAATAATTAATTATCTTTAAATTTTTCATTCTACTTTTTATGCTCTATGCTGCATTAAGTGCCCTCTAGACTTTTGTACACTGCTACTTTATCTGCTCATTTGATATACTTTTAATAATGAGCAATATCTCAAGTAGTTATAATTGCTTACAGTCTCCATTTCTTGGTTCTACTATTTTCACTGTTCATTTCTTCCTTCATTTTGGAAAATCATGATTTTTGACTTATCCTACTTCGATATTAATCTGGTTCTATCTATGTATTCTTCCTCCAACATTGCTTTATCATCTACTTTATTCTATTTCATCTGCCATTATCAATAAATCAGCTGCAATTATATTTACCATCCACTCTTCTTCAAAATCACTTTTATAATTCATAAAATAAACTGGACTCAACAGACAACCTTATCCAACTCCGACTGATGTCCACAATTTTTCAATTTGTCAACCTCCTATTTTTTTCTGTATTTTTAGTTCCCTACAGATGTATCACCATTAGTATTCTCTCTAATACCAGGCTTCTGCATGTTTTATAAATAACGTTTTTTCTGTTTGCTGTGTAAAATAATGACTACGTCTAGGAAGAAAGCATGCAACTATTCTCTTTTTTTTTGTAACCTACTTTTTATTAGTGCATTAAGGGTAAGGTTACGAGTACTTTGATTTCAGCATTAAAAGTGTCAAATGGTATTCTGATCATGATTTAGTTAAACAGTAAATTCAAAGTCAAATATATTTTCCAAAACAATTTGAGATGACAATTTTCAATCAAGAACTTAATCTGCACTGACAGGATGACATTTTTTCTCATAGTGACAGTTCTAAACCAACAGCATGAAACTTCAGATAAACTTACTAAATAGTATAAAGTTTAAGCTTTAAAACATTAAAATAATTTTAGTTTTAGTATTTCCATAATTATTCAGGTTATTAAATTTCCAAAATTTTGTTGAGACTGTTTTGAAAAAACATTAAAAATACATTTTTTATCTTAGAATTTGAAGTTTTATTGTTGACCAGAAAGTTCCATTTATATCCATTGCCATTTCATGTTGTTTTCTCAAAAATTTTTTTTGTAAAGTTTTCCCTTTTCTCTGTAGTACACTTCCACCTTTTTCCTTCTGTTTCCTATGTTTCTTGCTTTTTCCTTTTGTTTGTTGTTTTCCTAATAAAAGGTGATATTTGGTTCTTTCTTCTACACTATCTTCATCTCTTCTCCTACAATCTTCTGTTTTTTTTTCTTCAAAATTACAAAATCCATTATTGACATTCCTTTAACTTCTATATATGCAAGATTCCCATCTTCATCTGCTTGTATTCTTCCACAGATAAATATTTCTCCATTTTCTTCACAAATTTATATTTGCCATTTCCTTTTTTTATTCATCTCTTCATCTTTAGATCCACTTACTCTTCTCCATTTATAATCCCAATTCTCACATTAAAACCTCTCACAACTGTCAAAGGACCTAGGTTAGATCTCAACAAGACTAGAAGTTTTAATCTCAAAAACTTTTCCAAGCTTTTAAAAAATACTTTCTTTTACAAAAAACAACTGTCAGGAAAGTCTCTTACTATTTTCAAATTGATCAGTTTAGTTTTTTTTTCTCTTTCATGAGTATAAAAATATCTACCAAGTATATATGAATATACATACATAAAATACATCTTGACAAAAAAAACTTTCAAATCAAATATCTGTGAAAATGAGATGATTGTACTGCATGATGCAGCTGCTCTCATCAAAAAATGAAATATTAAAAAAGCTTTTTAGATATGCACATAGTGCCAACAGATTTAGACCTGAACTTTTCTCAAAATCCTCAGCTGCTATAGCAAGTAGGAATAATATTTATGAAAAACAGTTCTCTACCCAACTTAATCCATTTATAACTTGACTTTCTTGTAACAAGGTCACATTGCCCAAGTTTTTCAGCTACTACTTATTTGATTCAGTTTAAATAACTTCTACTAATTTGTAGATTTTTATGTATTTTTCATTTCACTCCATATTTGAAGAAAACGTTATAAATGCTTGTATATCATCTATTACTGTTGACTATAATCAAACAAAAAGTTAAAATGTTTTCTGTACTAACTTTAATCCTCTAGTTTAATGGACATTTATACAAGTTGTAATGATGTTTAAACAGAAAACTCAGGTGGATCTCATGGTTTTAAGTTACATTCAAAATACTACTGTGGCAACTTATTGTAAAGCAATTACAGCTGAAACCTGAGAAAAAAAAAAGTTAAGTTTGTTCATTTATCTGCAAATGTTATTCTACCGAAGTAGAAAATAATGTTTCTTAATTCAGTCAGTTTTCTTAAAAACTTTTGGATTTACATTGATGCATTTTCTACATCAAAGCACATTTTAGTGTATTTTGTGTGCCTGAAAGGGATGTAGTGAAATTGTTAAATGATACTAGACCACCATGACCCATTGGATCAATCACTATTCAGAGGTTATGAAGAATACAAGCTAATGAAGGTTTATTTTGAGATAATTTAATTAAATATTTCAATACATTTGTGTTATTCATAATTCAAGAAAAGATATTTGATTGTTGATCGGGAATAAAAGGAAAGACTATTCCATTCTTCAAAAAAGTGAAGTAAGAAGTTTCGTAAAGAGCTTGACCGGTAGTGTGATTTTTTTGACTGAGAAAATAAATAAACAAACAAACAATCTCAGAGTTTTAGCAGTATATAGATAGATTATTCAAGATCTTGTTTTTGTCATCTTACACCTTTTAATGAAGATGTAAACATTGGCAGGGAAATAATAGCCAATGCTTGGCGAGAGGTTTTCATTTATAAAATTTTGTTGTTGTTCTCGACTTGATTTTTATTTTATTACCTCGTCTCCATAGTTACTATTTGCAAATTGTCAATAATATTGTAGGTCCATTTTATTGTTGTTCTTTCTATGCGCCGTTATAACACATTTTCATCTCATCATTTAATTTCTGTTGTGCATATATTGTTGTATAGAAGATATTTTAAAGTGATTCATCAGGTGGAAAACAGATAGATAGATAAACTGATATGTGGCGCCATCTAGTGTACCTAAATTCATCTAGAAATTTTCATTTAAAGTGCCCAAAAAACAGGGCTAATTCGGTACCCCATGGCCCGATTTTAATTAAACTTGTTTTATTCTGTTTCTATTCTCATTTCATTACAAATATGGTGGTATTGTGCACCATTTTTGCTGTATTTAATTACAGCCAAGCACACACACACACAAACAATCTCAGATGTTTAGTAGTATATAGATTAATAGATTTCCGTAAGCACAGCCTAAAGAAATAAAAGGTTCACACAAACAGGTGAATATAGCATATCCTGCACATATTACACACACTGGATTTGCATAAGAAGTTGAGTATCATGGCTTTCGATCATGCTGTCTTTCGCTCATGTTTTTTATATTGTGTTAAATAAAACATTATGAAAATAAATTAGCATTTTTTTTATTTGTTACTTAAATTTCAATGAACACTCTAAAAGTCCCTAGTTACATTTCTTTGCTTATTGTGTACATATAACTGACAATTTACACTTCAGGATTTATTCATTTTTTTACTAACAATAAGAAATTCTAGTTTCAGTTCAATCTAAGTTTTTACAGACATATGTTTATTCTTCAGTGATTTTAACTTAATTATAAATGTTTTAATTATTACAAAAGACTTAAAAGTAATAAGTCTGTGTCATATTTAAAAATAAACGTTACCTGCTGTATCGGTAGTTCTCCTTTTTTTGCTACTTGTGTTTTAAGAATAACCTTACATCTTTAAATTAGTAAGACCATGAAATATATAATTTTAGAATGTATTCATAGAAACACTGTTTGCAAATCAAAAGGATTCAGAGGAGTACTAACATAATTACAGGAATGGAATGATCATTTTAAAGAAATAGGTTAAGATCTCTTAACTTATTTTTCTCTGAAGAAAAAAGTACTAGGTGATACAAGATTACATTATTATCTAATGGATCATTAGGATAAAGGCCTCCAATTTCTTGCAAATAATCAGCTAATCAAACTTTGGGCTTGTGGTTATTACTATTGTCAACTATTCCAACTATCCAAATAACCAAAATATTCCCATTATGTTTGTTTTTTGTCATGCATAATGCTATACAATGGGCTGACTATCTATGCTATGTCCACTGCAGGGTATCAAAATAAATTTTTAGAACCACAATTTTTTTTTTGTTTTAGTTATCTCTTTAGAATAATCCATTAGTTGAAAGTAACCATTTAATCAATGAATCGATCAGCAAATTCCATTAACAGTCTGGCTCTACAAGTTTCGAAACAAAAGTGTTTTACAACTTAAAGAAGAGAAATTAAGTTGCACATGCTCAAAATATATTCATCAAAGCTCACCTCTACATGAATGAAGCTCAGAAATGTGTATGCTATAACCACTGCAGTGTATAGTTGTGACTTGCATTTGTAAACATATTTTCAAAGAAGAAATTCACCATTCCAGTGTAACTCCTGCTAAGTTATCAAATGACTTTACTAATCTAATTTAGTGTCAAGGATACAATCATACAGAACAATGTTAAATTTTACTTAGCGTAGATGGTTATGTTATGTATTTGGTAAATTTAATACAGCTCCCTTACTGAAGTGCAAACTTAAAATTGATTTAATATGAGCATTATATACATTATAAATTATTAACATCCAAATTAATAAAAATGAGTTTTATTAAATAAATAAAAGCAATTCATATTACATTATTAGCAATATAAAGGGCCACACTAATGTTTTAAGAACAATTTTAAGCATGTTTCAACACAGACATAGATTAAACACCAATTACCATCCACTCACTGTGCTAAAGCCTCACTTAAAAGATTTTAAGAATGAACAATAAGTGATATTATACTAATGCACCCATAACTATAAAGTTCTATAGAGTACTGAAAATGCTGTGTAACAATTATTTGTTGTAAGAGATTAGGTTGAAACTACTTATCTGACTAACATTTGATACTTCTGTTACCATTATTAGTAGTACTACTACAATGAATGCAAAATTTTTAAGTTTTGACTTAAGTTGGATTATAAATTATTTAAATTGACCAAAATATGAAGTAAATTAGAGGAAGGCTTTTAAGATATTTGATTGATAAGAGCTGGCTTTTAGTTTTTTGCTTTTAATTTAGTGGATGGGACAGCAAAGGTGAACATCAAACCCTACGATATCCTTAAAATAAGTTGAATATTATGTTAATATTATACATTCTACTAACACACTTGGATAACAACAGTTTTGGTAAAATAAGAATTCCTATTCACAGTGTTGTATTACAAGATATGGAATTATGCTAGATAAATAGCCTAAACGACCTGATGAGCCCTAGTATTTGGTAAAAGCCTAGTTTATGAACAGTATTATCAACATTGGATATGACAGATGTATCATGTACTGATGTTGTATGGTTGACATATTATTACATATTCTTCTTAGCTTTCACTCAAGTTTTTATAAAAATATAACTACAAAACAGTTTTGTGATTTACTCTACGACTATTACTACTAGCTTTACCAACAGAAAAAATGAACAATAATTAAATCTAAAAAAGTAACCGTTAAGATTCAAGCTAATATCTGGAAATTGGAATATTTTTTATTATTAAATTTACAAACTGCACTTGATCAATAAAGTTAACCAGCCGACAGCAACACGTAAAAAAATAAGTACATTAACCATTAACAACTGTCCTAAAACCGTCGTACGTCTCCCCCCCCCCCCTCTCCATGTTTTAAGTTTTACCACAGTAGGCCTGAATAGGCTACAAAATACAATACTCAGACTTAAATAACAAACATTCGTGGAATTCTGTATAAACGAAAATCTTATTTTAACTAAACTAAGTCAACAATAAATTTTCGTTTATTTATAAAATTAAAAAGGTATATATATATATTCAATGTAAATGAAAGTTAACACAACTTACCCAATTGCTAAACTTAGAAATGAAGCAAATGCAATTCCAGCATATCACTTTAAGTTCAGCCGCCTAGTGTCATAACTTGAAAAATAAAAACAAAGCTGAAATGCTTATACAAAACAAAACTTCACAAAGCCTCCAAAAAGTAGAAATGTCTAAACAAATATTTCACTGTTCATGATGTTTATTAATTCTGACTACGCATAAGGTTCAGCTTATTTAATAATGAATTCCTTAAAAACACACGTACTTCTTTGTATTCATAGGAAGCGAAAGCTCAAAATGTGAGGGCGAGGTTATATCGTGAAGGGCAAATGGTATGCTATTTATTGTTTTAGTTATATATTTTATTTTACTTCAGCTTTACTTTATTTATTTCTTTATCGTCAACGTGTATATATAAAACTTAACGCAGAAAAGCTGTCAGTGAATAGCCTCGGTATTACATTGACAAAACTTATGCATTTGTTTGTTTGTTTGTAATTAAGCACAAGGCTATCTGTGCTCTGTCCACCACGGGTATCGAAACCCGGATTCTAGCGTAAACTTATGCAATTACATACTTACGGATTCCATTTGCAGTACATGAACTAACACTGACCAAAGTTTGGAAAATATAGGTGCAAAATTATAAGCCATGGCCATTAGAGTACAAAGAAGGGCTACTGGGATGATTCCTTAGATGGGAATATTTCATTTGATGATAGGTTAAAGTTTTTAAAATTATTTTATCTTGAGAAAAAAAAAATTGGTTAGAGGGGATTTCACTGAAGTGTTCAGGATTATAAAAGAATTAGATTAGTTTATTTATTTATTTGTAGTTAAGCACAAAGCTACACAATGGACTATCTGTGCTGTGCCACTACGGATATCAACACCCAGTTTTTAGTGTTATACGTTTTCAAACTTACTACAGTGTTACTGGAGGCTTTCATAGAAGATATTGGTGCAGCATCTTTTTTTTTTCTATATGTTAGTTGTAAGAGTGGTGAAACTGGAGGACATTGATTTAAGATTTGACCTGGTAGGCTTGTTGAATACTTAAAATATCAAGGTTGGGTATAGGCAGATGGGCATTTGATAAAATGAATGAAACCACCACTATGGGCCAAGGGGACTTTTTGTTAAACCTCAAATGTTTCAATCTTATTTCGCTAATATCCTTTTCCTTATTTCTTTCCTACACACTAACCCCAAAGGGGTGGGACGTTCGGGGATATGTCCTCAGGACCCAAAATCCCGAACATGACACTGGAAAAGGCAAAACAAAAATGTCTGGTCAGTCGATACCAAAAATTTTAACAATTAAGATCAATTAACGTGATATCTTTCAAATATTCTGCCTAAATTGATGTGTGACCTTTTGCATTTTATGCATAACTTCAGCTAGCGTCACATATGGAAATTGATCACTTGGTAAGTTGATGTCGATTCAAAATTATTTGCATTCCACCATTTCCCAAGACAGATCTGGGAACATTATCAATTTAAAGTCACTTTTCTAGCTCTGTAAAATTTGACACCATAATTAATCACTTAACTATATAAAAGGACAGGAAGGCAAACCTTTAACTGAGATGGACCAATGGGTCCCATGTTGTCCCAAAATATTATGTTATGTTATTAATTAACATGCTAATTTAAATGGTTAAAACAAAATTTGTGTATATGATAAACATTTGACTTGTTTTCATCCCATATTGGGCCATTGAAGGTCAGTTACGCATAAAACATTCATAAATATGGTTAAGTGTATCTGATGCTCATAGGTTTTTCATCATTGTTGATTTTCATTTTAGCAAAACATTTTTACAACGTGGGGGAGGGGGCTGGTGGTTAGGGTGCTTGATTCGTATTTTGCTGGTCGCGAGTTCAAATCCCATTACCGAACATGGTCGCTCTTTGAGGGGACGTTATAATGTCATGACCAACTCCACTTTTCATTGGTACAAGAGTAGCCAAACATTGGTGGTGGGTGGTATTGACTAGTTGTCTTCTCTCTAATCTATTACTTCAAAAGTAGGGACAACTAGCGTAGATCGCCTTCAAGTAGCTTTGCGCGATGTTCAAAAACAAACAAACCAACGCAACGGAAGAAAATATGACTATTTTGGTAGATGGTGGGGTATCCTATCAGATTCAGAAATCCAGAAGCCTAAGAATGAGATGTATATGGCTGTGTAGAGCATTATCCAGTGATCATTTTACTGTGCTGTTTTCTTTGATCCGAGTAGTCGTTAAGGTGTTTATTTCTACCAAAGTTGACCACTTACTTACTATGGCCGTGCTATTTCGCCATTATTTTAGTATTCCTCTCTCCTCTTATCTTTGTAATGTTCTTGCACTTCACCCAGAGAAAGTACTTATATCTCTGTTCTTTACCTGACCTTGAATCTCTTTTCTCCTTCGCATCGTTTAGGTTCGCATCCTGCCGAATCGTCTTCACTCTCTATCTTCTCCATTTGAAGGCAAGCTGTCAGATACATCCGTAAGTTTACCACTGCTGTACGCAGAAATACTTCTCTTTTGGTGCCTGACAGCATCTCCTCCTCCGAAGCTTCTCTGGCCTCTTATGGCTAACGTTTTAAGTAACTGGTGTTCCGTCGTGATCGCATCCACACTTGCTACACTTGTAAGTCCTCGGACGTTTTGATACTTTGTATTTGTAGGTTAGCTTTCAATCCGATTTCGTTCCATTTTGACAAGAACAACTACTTGGAAATTCTGGCTCGTTGTCGTAGCAGTTCCTCACAGGTTTCACAAAAAGTTCGGGGGTAGTTAGTGCTACAACAATTTCATTGTCTGAATTCATCTAAAAAAATCACCTAACTCTACTGACAAAAACAACTATAACTTCTTTGGGTGTTATTCAATTATAGATCGGCATACACCTTTAGATTTCTTATAGGATAATGCATATATCTGTAAATTTTTAGAAAAAATAAAGTCTAAATGCCGGATATCGTTCCTACAAAATGCCCTATGATTTCTGTTGCTGTTGAGTCAGAGACTGCTTGTTTATGTTAAGTGTGTGGTATTTTCTGCTTCGGGGATGTATCTCAGTGTAGGCTAACCGAAGGCTAAATGATATCGGTGTGAGGATCTGTTTCTCCTGGATCTAAGACCTAGTTCGTCACACAGCAAATCAGACGAGATACAAATATCCAAAATGATTAAAATGTTTAATCACAACAACTAACAAAACATAATACAAAATAACACATTACAATACAAAATAGCAGGGTAAGTGTGATTCGTGAGTATGTACAGATGACGAGAATAGTAAAGACAATCATTGTTTGTTTGTTTTTTGAATTTCACACAAAGCTCCACGAGGGCTATCTGCGCTAGCCGTTCCTAATTTAGCAGTGTACTTGGGCTACTCTTTTACCAACGAATAATGGGATTGACCGTCACATTATAACGCCCCCACGGCTGAAAGAGCGAGCATGTTTGGTGTGACAGGGATTCGAACCCGCGACCTTCAGATTGCGAGTCGAGTGCCTTAACCACCTGGCCATGCCGGGCCCAGATAATCGTTATTGAAAAAGTTAATATCACTAATTCAAGTGTATTTGAAGTTAAAAAACAGTAATATAAAAATAACCAGACAAATTAAAAAAGAAATCATCATAAAATAAGCAAAATTTTGGCATTTATTTTATAAGTCTACTTTATAATAATGTCTGATTCCGTTTCCCTCGAAATAAGACTCCTCTTTAATTCAAGCGAAACCAAAACAAGTTAACAATAAACCTCAGCAAATTAATAAACAAGTAAACAATAAACCTCAATATATTAAAACATAGAAAGCCAAAATTTTCTTACCTCCAACGGTGAGCGAGCCTATCGTACGTTTGTTAATAGGGTGACTTACCTTTTCTCGTTCTTCTTGTTTCTTTTCTTTTTCCTCCAATAACTGCTGTAGTCTCTCTTGTTTATTTTGCTGTTCGAGCTGCCACTGTTACAGGTTTTCTTGTCACTGCTGCTGTCTCTCTGCTTGTTTCTTTTCTCGTTCTTCTTGTTTCTTTTGCTGTTCTTGTATTGCTGCCATCAAATCTGCTAAGCTGTAGTTTGATTTGCCACTTCTCGTTTCCATCTTTCTTTTCTTCTTTTTTTTTAGTCCCACTCTCTGACACCAATTTGTTACGTCTCTGGTCGTTTGTTAATTTCCGGTATAAATTCTTCCCGAGGAACTTCAGCGATACAAGTCCTTTCTTAAATAAAACTAGTTTATTCTTTCTCAATACACAGAATTTCCACAGTCACTTTCACTTAAACACACGCTATAATTCACAACGATTCACGCACTTTACTTACGGTCACTACCGCTCGCTTGACTCAATTATCTGTCTCTATATCTCCATCTGCAATTATTTGCCGGGCTTATATACAAAAAAGAGGGCGCCTAGAAAAGACTAGAGTTACCAGGAACAGTCAAGATCCTTAGAGAAACCCATGACGTGTTACCAGCGTCACGTGACTTCCGCTGTCGTAACATTTCTTTAACTACGTGGAACCGAGTGTGGCCAGAGTGAATATGGGCCGTAACGCGGCGGATCCTCGTTCCGGGAATAAAAATGTAATGTGTTACAGAAAGAAAAAAAAAGATTTACAAAACATGTCAACCAGCGTTTAAACTTTACTTTGTGTCACTGACGAGAGAAAGAATGCGGAAGAGGGCAAATATACTAAATGGAGGGATGTTCTTGACACACCCTCATTTGGACTCACCCACCGATAATTACTTGTAAAACCTCACTTAACCGACATTTTCAGGACTGAGGGGGGCCTCGGATAATTAAAATGCCGGCTTGGACTGAAAAAGTATATTTGGTTTGGTTGTTTTAAGCGCAAAGTTACACAATGGACTATCTATGTTCTACCCAACACAGGTATAGAAACCCGAATTTTAGCGTCGTAAACTTACAGACTTATTGCTAGGGGCTGGGAAGCAAATAATATTAGCCGAATTATAAGCTTTAGTACAGATATTGAAATATTTTGTAGTTAAAAAGTACAATATTGTATTACTAATATTAATGTAATAATAACATTTGTAACTTGAAACACAAAACAATAGATCTAAAACTCGAAGTGAATAACCACA